AATTAGAGATTCTAAATGCTATAAAGATTAATGTTTCTTTTTATATTATATGCTTATGTAAGGGTGTGTCCCTGGTTCAAAAGGTTACTAGAGGATAATTAATTTGTCTCCCATATGAATAATTTAGTAAAATAAATGATTATTTAGTGATTGAATCCATGTGAGTAAATATAGGTCAGAGCTACTTAACTACATTTCATGCCTAAAGGACTCGTATTAACTCTTCACCAATTTTCAGACTATAGTTCAAATTCCCTCTCTAATACGCCATTTCTAATTCCCAAGTAGTACTTGACTCTTAGAATTTTAAAAATATCTGTACTTTTACTATCTGCATGGCATGTCTATGATATTATCTGCTGGATTCAATTTGTGTCTTCCCAGCTGGACTGTAAAATACTTAAGAATGGGAAGAATGTTTTATTCACTTGCGTTCAACACATTGCTGTATACACAGAGGGATTTAATAGAAACATACAGAGTGAGCAAATAAGATATACACTAATTACATACTATATTTAATTTGATTCAGTCCCGGAGCCAACCAGTATTTCTTGGTGTCTTAAAAAAAATTAATACGAAGGATACTCCAAAGAAAACATATTCTGTCATTGATAATTGTCCTCATTTCAATAAATTGTCCATAATATTTTCACAACAAATATGTTGTTATAGAAAGCTATGCATGGAAGCACTACTTTGTTAAGTGAAATTTTATCCAAACCATGAGGGTGATACAATAAATGTATCTTTTTTTAAGTTTTAATATTTGTTGTTTGTGAGTAAAATGAACTTATCAAATGCATATGAAAGATTCAGAAATATTATGAATGAACTAAATATTCATATTAATCAATTACTTTAATTGGGATCAATTCTGCATATATAGTTTGTCTTACTATTTTAGAAACTATTTCAATTTAATTCTGTGTTTGATCATAAAAAACAAGTTACAAAATAAAATAAAAATAAGATCCTCTTTCTCATGTGATATTCAGGGGAGCCACATCCCAAGGAAGTAATAACAAGCAATCTTCTTATAAACTTGGGTACAAACCATGTATCATCCAAAAAAGCTATTAAGCATTAAAATGTATCAGAATACATACGTATACCCATAAAAATTATAAGAGTGAGTTAAGAATGCCTGCTTTAGTATTTCACAAAATCTTATTAGAGAAAACGTCAGTTCATTCGGACCGGTGGAACAAAAAATAGCTTAAACTGTGTGGCTCATATACAACAGAAATTTATTCCTCACAGTTTTGGGGGCTGGAAGTTCAAGGTACTGGCAGGTCTGGTGATAGCCTGCTTCCTCATGGACAATGCCCTCTTACCTTGTCTTCACATGGTGGAAGGCACAGACTCCCTCTATGGCCTCTTACATAAAAACATTAATCCAATACGTGAGGATGCTGCTCTCATGACCTAATCACCTCCCAAATTCCCTACTTCCTATTATTTTAATATCAAAAGTTAGTATTTCAATATATTAATTTTTAGGGAACATAAATACTAATATAATACAGGATAATATTATAAATGGTCAATGTTTTGTGACAATCCTCTACATCTTTACGAGAGTCATACAGGATGGCTTCGTCTGTTAATTCCTCCAGCACTGGAAATAGTATTGTGTTTCTCATCCTGGAATGAAATTAGCTTTGCATAATTATCGCCACACTAAAAAAATAAAATCTTGTTTTAGATTATTCATACTAATATAAAACCAATTTTGAAGATATAATGATTAAATAGTGGTTTTTGGCTACACAGTAGGATTTTGCTGGTGTTCCTGTGAAGAATCAAATACAGGCAAAGGTTGAAACTCCATAATTAAATGCAAAAACCAAGGTGAATTCTGATAGCCTACTAAGACATAATTTAAAATAAAGATTATTTCTTTATTTCCTGCAAAGACATAATTACAAGATATTCTGGCTCAATTTTAGAAGCACAGTCATGCACACTGTAACTCATATGCACGCTTTTCTTTTCTCACTATGCGTCAGTCAACTTTCAGGACCTGGATTTGTGCTCTAATTCAACTGACTGTATTGGGCTAGGACTGAGGAACAGTTTCTATCACATTCACTATTGCTTAGCTCCTGCTCACATCCCGCTTTCTCAGAACCAGGTTTAAGTCTTTCTGATCAGTTGAAAGAGAGAGGAAAAAAAAAAAAAAACAGTAAAAAATAAACTTTAGGCATTTTCTCACAGTTTCTAGTTCTCATTCATGTAGCTCAGAATTTTATTTTATTTTTGGAAATTGATAATACATAAAGGAAGAAAATGACGTCTGGGCAAAATCATCTTCTAAGTTAGAAGATACTGGTAAAAGTGGAATTATAAATATCTTTCTAAAGTTTGGGACACACGCACGTAACTTAGAAGGTGATTTTGCCCAGATATCATTTTCTTCCTTTTTACATATGCACGTCACAAAAGATATATATGTATGTGTGTACATATATGTATACATACATGTATACATATATGTAGAGAGAAAGCGAGAGCCTTACAATATTCATGAATATTTTCCAAGAAATTTTATTTTGAAGAATTTATTTTGATATTACTATAATACGGTTTACCTAAATTTATATATACCACAGACTATTAGAAAAGAAGAAGTGGAAACACTGAAATATCCAATAACAAAACTATAATTTAAATATATTAGGTATAAGTAGAATACAATTCCATTTTTCACAGCACAATAGAGTATCTACAGTTTAAAAAATGTATTATACTCAGGTGATAGAAACCCTGAATATCCTGACTTGATTACTACACATTGTATACATGTAACAAAAGTTCACATGTACCCTGTAAGTTTGTACAGAAAAAATGTTTAAAAAGAAAATTAAAGAATTTCTAAACAAACAACAACAAAAGAATACAGTGTAGGCATTTTCAAAGGTATAATTACTATTTATAATATATTATTAAGTTAAAAATTAAGAATATTGTTTACTATGTTACTGAAAAGAGTATTATATGCAGATTATTTTAACTACTTACAATTGGTAAGATAATAACCTTTTTACTTACCTGTATCTTATATTCTAAAATAAGTTTATATATATTTATACATATCTTTCAAAATTCAAAGTTAAAGTTAACTAAAGGAAATCATTCTTCCCAATAAGAAAGATATTTATATCATTTGACAATAAAATTTTACTATAGAAATTATCTCAAGAGGAATCAAAAGAAGAGCTATTAACTAAGATTTATGAAAAATGATAAAGCAATTTTGTTCTTATTAGTAAAAATTAACCTGAGTATGCAACATTAGAAAATATTTTTCAAAAATATATGGTAAAATGTTTCAAAATATTACTCTTAAATATGTATATTAGGAAAATGTAAATGGAATGAAAACTGAAGAGATGATTGAAAACAAGAATGTAAAATGATACGTATAACAACCTAAAGGTTTTCTTTTTAAGTCAATATACTGTAAGAAGAAACAAACGAAAATTCTGGCTATATTGGGGAGATATTACTTTCAGATGCATACCTAATTTCAGAAATTTCAAAATGTAAACAATTCACATTTAAAATTGGGCATACACAGGTGCAAGGAAAAGAGAAAATATACAAAATACTAAGTCAAAAAATATGAGTATAAATTCTTTCATGGATTTGACATTTTTTCAAGAACCATAGTAAAATAATAACAATTTTTGCTCTAACTGTGCTATACCACCACTCTTCTATGACTGGTACTACTTCCATTATTACTGCTACTTTATCCACTACTATAAATAGAAATACCATTTATGAAATATCTTCTCTCTATTAAGCCCTTTACTGACTCATTTAATTCTTATAATGCCATTAATAAATTTTGATAATGCTTTAAAAACACATTTTTAAGAGATGGGGTCTTGCCTTGTTGCCCAGGCTGGAGAGCACTGACTATTCATAGGTGCAATCATAGCACAATACAGGCCTGAACTCCTGTACTCAAGCAATCCCTCCTGCCTCTGTCTCCCAAGTGGCTGAAATTACAGACATGAACCACTGCACCTGGCTGCCTTTGAGTAGATGAGAAATTTAAGGATTTGTTAAGAACCCTGAACTAAGTTGACAAAAATAAATTTACTTGTTTTCATTTTTCTTCTAGGTAAGCTCAACTTCATATTGAGTTACAAAGACTCCATGTATATTTTTAAATTTCGTAAAGGATTTCCATAGATTGTGCTATTTAAATCTGTCAGAAACCCTTTTATTCTGGTGGAGCAGTCATTGTTTTCCAAATATAATATTTGAAGCATAAGAATGAGACACTTCAGAAAATTATTGAAGTATTTGAACATTAATACTTTATTCTATGAACAAATGCCATTGAAAGATGAAAATAACCGTCATTTCATGTAGAGCTCACTTCATCTTTGCACTTATTATTTCGTGTTCTTGGTCACATTGCTCAGTTTCTTCTTTGGTAAAAGGAATGAAGAAGCATGTGGTCACATCTGACTAAGAAAACAAAGGCTCAAAACAATAGCGGGAGGACAATTAATGATAGTTGGTAGTAGTAGCAGTAATAGCAGCAGAAGCAGCACTTGTTTTATCTTTGGATATGATTTTATTTTATTATTATTTGGAGATCTGTGTGCCTTTATTAGCAAAGCCACTACTAGAGGGGGATGAAACAGGAGGAGTGGGTGGCCCCAATGCACGGCCGGCCATGCTTCACGGGCTTGTAGGTAATAGAGAACTCTCCCAGATAGAGGCCAATCATCTCCAGCTTGACCTCACCTGGTTGAAGGTTTGCCGTTGTAGACCCCCACCATGCTGCCCGTCATCTCAGGCAGGTTGATCACCTTATGTCCCGCAGGTGCGTCTTCACCACTTCTGGATTCTCCATGGGCGGCGCTTCCTTCTTGGCCTTGCGCAGGCGCGTCAGCAGCAAGTCCTGTTTCCGCCAAAGGCCCGGGCTCAGCCCCGCCGCTGGTGGTGCGCACTGTACGGCCGCATCAGCTGCTCGCAGAATATGTCCATCACCTGTCCAGGTCCACGCTGCGGTAAGTGAACTTGCGGAAGGTCCGCTTTTTCTTCTGCTCTACCTCTGCCATCTTGCTGGATCCTCAGAAAAGGTGGTTATGATTTTAAAATGTTTTGGAAGTCTTACAGGAATCTGTAAATCCATGTTAACAAAGCTATTCCTGAAAGTTTAAACTCCATGAAAAATCATGATTAAAAAGTCATTTTTAAATAGCATTTTTTCTGGATCCAATATTACTTACCCTACTAATATTCCTAACATCCTTAAACTCTTCTCAAATGATGATAATTTATCATAAGAATAGTTCATTTGTGTTGTTTTTAAATATTAACTTACTACTGACTGAACTTGTTTTTTTTTTTTTTTTTTTTTTTTTTTTGCCAATTTCTTCTCTGTTCCATATCAACCCTTGTTAGTCCATAACTCGCTAATGCTTGGAAAAAAGATTTTTAAGTAGCTGCTGCTACTGTCTGATTTAAAACAAAACAAAACAAAACAAAAAACCATGCTTTTCATTGCTTCCAAACGAGGGTGACATGTGTCTTAATGTACAAGAGTGATGGGACACCACTTTGAGTATGATCAATATCAGTAGATAAAACCTACACTTTAAAAAAGCTCTTCGTGGTCTTCAATAATTTTTAGGATTGCAAGGGGGTCCTGAGGAAAGTGAAATTAGAGTGAACATGTTCCTATTTATAACAAACATTATGGAAAAGTACCACTGGAATAATTGACCATAGGCCGTGACCAATAGAGGGCAATACTATAGGAACTGAGTCGTTGACAAGCTTAACCTTTAAATAATCCTCTGAAGTTTGATATCCAGCAGCAGTTGAGCCACAATCCAAGAGGTATCCTTGTGATTCTTCTAAATAGTCACTTCTATCTTGTAGGACAAAGAGAAAGGGTCAAGGAAGACTTGACTGATGTCACCCCATACTTTTCTCTAAAGACCTGGCAATTAAACATTGCATTTGAACTACTTATATGGAAGGAAGCAATCCCCACTCTTCAATTCTTCTGTGCCTCTGGGTAATTCACATTAGAGAAGTATATAAGAGATTAGAAGAATGTTAGTTTTTCAGTAGCTTTAATTAACAACTTCCTGTTTAAAAGTTTAAATTCTAGAACTTTCTCAGTTGAATTGTCAGAATGGAATGGTGTGCCCTGCATTTGTGATTTCTCAAACCTATTTCTAACCTTTCTGTACCCTTTTTGCCTACCACAGAACAAAGGACTAAATTTGATTACTATGAATATATACTGAAATCATAAATTATCACCTTTTTCTGTTCTGTATACATTTCCTGGGTGTGCAAGGTGTAACCTGAAGGACAACACTCAGGAATCTACTTTAATTTATTCTATCAGTTTGAAAGGCCCAAGCATATCTAACATTGCTCTTGAACAATGAGTTGTCTTAGCTACAAGAGTTAACTGCTTCCAGAATTTCTGTTATGGCATTGGGATATTGAGCTGTATGTCTTTGTCTATTCACCTGTCTTTGTAATAGCGTTCAGTATTTCTCTACTCGCTAGCATAACTCTAGTTTTATGTAAACTTACTTTTATCTTTAAAGGCCATAGGGACTTACATCAATCATTCTTGCTCCCTAATTTTCCAAACAGTAAAGCCTGGCAATTTGTCCTCTAGTTTGTTATCATAATACACTCTTGAAATATTTAATGAGTTTGAATCTAAATCTGAACTTGCTTCATGAAGCAAAACATTTTATGTTGCAGCTGACTAGCAACTCCTCTTATTAAATAAAGCTGGTGATATTCTATAATAGATAGTAGTTTCAGCAAATTTTCATACAAATGGAAGTAGTAGATAATAGAGAGACAGGCTGTTCATTCAAAACATTGTCCATAAAAAATTAGCCAATATTTTCATACCATATGTTGTGCCTACAGTCTTAATATTAGAAACAAAACATTTAGATAGTTTCTATTGAATTTCTTGCTTATTTTTGAAAATATAATCTCTATATTTAAAAAATAAATTTAAAAAAGTGCTGTGAGGTTAGTGGCTTTGCTGTGTAACAGCAAGGACCTACTGCGTATTTGTCCTTTTTTCCTTTCCTAAAAGGGTAGTGTTTACAATATTTCAGAAAAGATGTTCTCTATTTCCACACACGGAACAATTAGAGTTTTAGAGGGTCCAGAAAACATACTTGGTTACATTCTCTTGCCAATAAAATACAGTCTCCAAAAGCTCTGAATGCAAATTCAAATATTCTTCTTTGCAATATTCAAATTTGCAAATATGCAAATTCATATATTCTTCTTTGAAGGCAATAGCACACTGTGCAAAAGATGGCCTCCCAAATATTTACTTTTATAATTTAGCTATTGATTTAATCTAAATCTCTAAGAAATCATCTTCTTGGTATTTTTGGTTTTCATTTTCTGAGTATGATAAGATCAGATTATAATTATCAAATATATATACATTGAAAAATATAGGAAAAAATTATATTAAAATATTTAATTCTTCTCTCAAATAGACTACTAATTCTGACTGTTTGACCTCATACTCCATGTAAAAAGGTGTTTTTTTCTTTTACTTGTATTTTCCCTGAGAGCAAAGACCAGCAACTGACACATGAACTTCTCGAATGCCATCATACATCCTTTCCTCTTTACAGAAGTTTTTGACTGATGCTCACTCAGCCTTTTTCTCTAACATTTAGAAAAGGAGAAAAGCTAGTTTATGCTGTTTATATCTTGCTTCCAGAATCACTGATTTTATTTTGATAACTTCCAATCCCAACTTACTCATGAACAACAACAAAAAAGTAGTGTTCCATTCACAGCACGACCACATTAAACAAAGGAAAAAAAAATAAAACAAAATAAAAAAGTAACCGAGATAGGCTTGGGAAACTTCAGAAAATTTCTAGCCTTTTCCTGATGCATTACTCTCTTGGTACAACGTTTTGAACAAACAGAGTTAAGCATTTCAGAAGATAGAGAGTTGGAACTGTTTATTCTAAAAAATAAAAATAAAAATAAAGCAGAGAACTGTGAAGCAATCTGAGGAGCTAGATTTGCAAGAATAACTGAGCCTTGTTTTTTTGCAAGTGTTGTGTAAAATTGATTTTAGAGAACTGAAATTGGCAAAAGTAGAAATAAAGTTATAAAATTTTGAGCTCACATAGGCTGGATTTCAGATAACATATGATATAATTTACATTGCAAACATTTATATTCAAGTACATTTCATTATTTTAATACTGTATTTTCAAAAACAAAGGTTTAGATGAACACTGAGATTAACTCTAAAGTATAAAGCAGTGTTTGTATAGGCCACTGCATCTTAGAGATACAAGTTAGAATAACAAAAGCCGATGGATTCATTATTGCTTAGTTCAGACCCACCAGCTGATTCCATGAACTCTACTGCTTAAAGTCAAGAGAAGGGAAGGATAAAATATTTAACATCCCAAAGGCTCACAAAATTGTGTTATAGTCTCTGCTTCCTGTACCATATCAGTCTTTCAAAATAGTGCCTTGCTCTCTAATGAAAATATCCACAAACCCATGACTGTACCTCACCCACTCAGGAAGCAAAATGTTTTTTCATCTTCAGGAGCTTTTATATGTCTATATTGAATACCTTCTACATACACACATGCCCAACAGAATTTAGTTGTGTGTGTGTGTGTGTTTTTTTTTTCTTTCTCTGTGCATTGTGATGTTTTAGATAAAGGGTTATCATGTCCCAAAATTCTCTGCAAAATTTTGTGATCTTTCTGTTGCACCACTTATTTCTTCTTCATTTCCATAAATATTAGCTTTAGAAGGCATGAGTCTTAGTCTTAGGCCTTCCTTACAGATATTTTTGTTTATTCCATACTGAGACAAAATATGATAAAAAAATTTAAAAGGCAAGAGAGGAGAGGCAAAACATTCAAGAGTCTACAGTGATGAATTCCTCAATATGGGCTTCAAACATGAATATTTCCAATTTATGAATTTATTATGATTCTATTTTAGGCAGACTAAAAGCCTCCACATTGTGTATGTAGAATTTCTCTATTTTTTTCAGAGTTCAGAACATTAAAAAGCACGTAAGTACGTATTGACCATTCAAGTTTTATTTCTGCTGCAGCTAAGACACCGACTTATACTTTCTGCAATAAATATTTGCAATCCCTAAAAGGTCTTGATGCTCATCCAAAAAGCCTTCTTTGGAAGCAAGAGCATTGAGCATGCAGTCTTTCACTTGGTATCAGATAACTATTTCTGGCTCATCTGATGGTGAAAAATGCTTTCACAAACAAAAGTACAAACTAGAAAGTTGGAGAAGAATGTTATAAATGACCTTTCTAAAGATGTTTTTTAAAGATCCTCTTTTTGATAAGTTCTTATTTTTTGACAATGCCATTTTAGAATTTATGTCAATCTTTCAGTTAACACAGACTACCCTCAATGATGAGCCTTTATCACTCATGGAATGTTTAAAAAATATCAAAACTTTTTGTATAGGCTGACAATTTGCAAGAACAGAATGTATGAGCTCGGAATTAACTCATGGATAAGTCAGCTACACATGAATAGATATGTCATTTAGCAATGCTTATTTCTCTGGTTCAATACTACTCTTCTGTACTTTTTCTTGATCTTTCCAGAACAGCAAAGAGATAATTTTCATTTAGTTTGCTTAACAGTGGTCAATTACAGATAACCCCTGACCTATTCACTGATCCCATTCTCTGCACAAGCAGTTTCCAGAAAATGAGAGCACAGTCTTGTGATTTTTATTTTTAAACACATCTCTAGAAAGATAAGCAAGAAGGAAATAAAAGAGAGGAAGGAAGGAAGAAAGGAAGAAGAAACAGACTAAGAACATTAAAAATTAAAATGTGAGTAGGGCAGGGTAGCTTATGCCTATAATCCCAGCACTTTGGGAGGCTGAAGTGGGTGGATCACTTGAGGTCAGGAGTTCCAGATCAACCTAGCCAAAATGGTGAAACCCTGTCTCTACCAAAAATACAAAAATTACCCAACATTGTGGCACATACCTGTAGTCTCAGCTGCACAGGAAGCTGAGGCAGGAGAAACCTTTGAACCTAGGAGGCAGAAGTTGCAGTGAGTTGATATCGTACCACTGCATTCCAGCCTGGGTGACAGAGTGAGACCCTGTCTCAGAAAAAAAAAAAAAATTAAAATGTGAGATAAATACAGATATGGTCACTATTTCTGCATGCAGTGGCATCTTTAACAAGTAAGTTTGAAAGCCTATAGAAATATGAAAGTATTAGATAATTTTTAAATGACTCAAGAAGAAAAAATGAAAGATTAATAATCCTTAATATTAAGCTATAGTTAATACCTCCTCCCTCTGCTGTCATGAAGCCAATGTCATTTAAAAGAAAATTTATATTCACTGAGATATACACATATATGTCCAAGACACATATATGTATATATCTACGTGTATATACTTTTTCATATATATGAAAAATATATCTGTATGTGTATATATGAGTATATCTGTAGGTATATAAATTTTCATATGTATATATATGAAAAGAAAATAAGTCTCTCAGGACACCAAAATCACTAAGCCAAGGATAAGTCAGGCTGGTAACTGTCAGGCAAACCTGCCTCCCATTCTACTTCTAAATAAGATAGCTACAAGATAAAAAGCTACAAATCGGCCGGGCGCGGTGGCTCACGCCTGTAATCCCAGCACTTTGGGAGGCCGAGGTGGGTGGATCACAAGGTCAAGAGATCGAGACCATCCTGGTCAACATGGTGAAACCCCATCGCTACTAAAAATACAAAAAATTAGCTGGGCATAGTGGCGCGTGCCTGTAATCCCACCTACTCAGGAGGCTGAGGCAGAATTGCCTGAACCCAGGAGGCGGAGGAGGTTGCGGTAAGCCGAGATCGCGCCATTGCACTCCAGCGTGGGTAACAAGATCGAAACTCTGTCTCAAAAAAAAAAAAAAAAAAAAAAAAAGCTACAAACCTCCCTCACAATTTGCCCACGAGAAAATTCCTTGTGGAAAGAGGACAGACAGAGCTCAAAGTCATCCATCAGAAGCTCACCAGAGACAAGTGCATATCCGATTGCTTCTTCTGTGCTACTGTTTATTTAAAAATGCAGATTCAATGAGCCAGACACAATTGTGTATTCAGTAGAAGACTGATCAAGGACTCATAAGTCTCTTATCTACCCATGACCTAGAAGCCCCCACCCCTAACTCCCCAATCCCCCCCACCACTGCCTCAGTGTCCTCCTTCACACATATTGATTGATGTCTCATGTCTCCCCAAAATGTATAGAACCAAGCTGTACCCTGACTACCTTGGGCACATGACATCAGCAGCCCCTGAGGCGCTGTCACAGGCACATGCTTAACCTTGGTAAAATAAATTTTCCAAATTGCTTGAGACTTGTCTCAGATGCCTTTTTGGTGTACATTTTATATTTTTATATATATATATATATATATGCACATTTGTTATGTACATGTATATAATATACACATTTGTTATATATATGTTATATGTAAAAGGTTATATATATATATATTATATATATATAATATATATAAATTATATTATATTATATTATATTAATATATATAATATATATAAATATATTATATATAATATTAATATATATATTAATATTATATGTGTATAATATAAAATTACAAATTTTACCCAAATATTTATAGCTTATAAATATTGCTTTTGTTAATTAAATAGAAAGATGGCCTAAACTATCTTTTAGTTTATCAAAGCATAATGGCATTTTAAACTTTAAAAAAGTATACAAAAATAAATATTTGTCAGTTTGACATAGTTGAGAATGCTATTAATAATTAATATTTTATCAAAATACATTTAGTAATATTTATGTTTATGTGGAGAATCTACCAAAAATGAAAGAAGGATGGAAATCAGAATTATTCCATTGTTTCTAGATATTGGACCAACACACATCAATGAAAAATATTTATCACACTAATAGTAATCATTTAGAAAATATAATACATAGCTTGAAAATAATTTCATTCATATTAGCAAGAAAAAATAAGTTACTTAAGAATATATTTTAAAATTATAATTTATAAATAAGTTTTTAAAGCTGCACACATAGATACCTAAAAAAGTAGAAAATATAATCTATTCTAGACATACAATGAAAGCCTAATCAGAAAAGAAACTATGACAGAAAATATATTAAAGTTCAAACTCAAATGAAAAACCAGCAGCAAAAAGAACACTGTAGTACATATATATCAGCCAAGAAATAGTGTCCCAGACATTTAAACTATGTGCAAATAAATAATGAAAACAAAGGAAGAGAGCAAAAAAACAATGACAATCACAAAAACTAAGGAATAGGGAAAAAAGCTGATCATTACAAAAGAAAAAGTTGATATGGAAATTAAGCATATGAAAATCTGTTCCAAGCCAGTCAAAATATTAAAAAATGCAACATGTTCAGGTAAAATCTTCAAAGTCTAATTAGTGTGGGAAGCACAAATTAAAATTCGTACATTAATGATGAGAGTATAAATTGCAACAATCAATATGAAAAAAAAAACAACATTATTTTGAAATAATGAAAACGCCCATGTCTTATGACGGATCAGAAAAGATATGATCACTTCCTTTTCAGTTTTTTTAAAATAATTACCTTAATTTTTATTGGAGATTTTTCTGTCGTCTATTTAAAAATTGTCACCTACATACTGATAAAAGAAAAACTTCAGCCCCGTTAATTTTAAAGGAGTTTTGTTGAGCAATGAAATGTTCACAAATCAGACAGCCCCCACAATCATAGCAGATTCACAAAGACTTCAGTGCAGTCAAGTGGTAGAAGAAGATTTACAGAAAAAAAAAAAGGGAAGGGGGAAACAACTTACAGAAATCAGCTGTGAGGTACAGAATCAGCTGGATTGGTGACAGGTTGGTATTTGCCCTATTTGAACAAAATTTGAACACTTAGCATTCTATAAGTGGTTGAAGTGTTGCCTCTGGAACTGGCCAAGATCCAGTTATTGTTACAGCTGCATACTCCTAAATTAGATTTTCAGTTTTGTCTATTAAGCTAGGTTACCGTTCATCTACAAGGACCCAAATGCACAAGTATGGAGTTCTTCTCGGGTCGTATTTAGTTTGCTTTAACCACTTTAATATGGTAAAAAATTGATTCAAATTTTATGTTATCCTATGTTTTGTACAGAACTCTAATAGAGAAACCAGATTCATTTCTTACCGATCAACCTATGTAAACAAAGTCCCAAGTACATTTTTTTTTTCACTTTTCCGTGAAGTCCATTACATACATGAAATAATCTTATTTTAAAAGTCACAATATATTTAATTCCCAGATACTGCCTTTGAGCCAGTAACAAAGTATGTGCAATCATGTTCCACTCTTCAGCTGTAAGTACCAAGTTAGTCATTCTTTGGAGACCAGAGGGACAGTCTCCAGAGACATGAAATCCAGAATGACTTTAAATTCCTTTTCCATTTGTTGTTATCTGTCATTCTTTAACTGATATTCACATTTGGAAAAAAGAAAATTGAATGGGGGTTTATTTGGCCATCTTTCCAATCTCTTATTTCCTCATAATGATTTTAATTAAAATCCAACTCCTTTCAGTTGTGTATAAGAAACACATTTTCTACATATTGCTGTAATTTAAATATTTTGATGATTATACAACCCTTTTTGATGAAAATATCCAGGGAAATTGATGATTTTATCAAGTGTAGTTCTCTTTCTTTGGAGGATTTATTCTCCAGACATCTACTTCATCTGATAGTAATACAGCTACACCAGATTTCCCTGCAACATATATTTCCATGGATGTTGTAGAACATTGAAAAAACACTCCCTTCTTGTTCTTTTGCATTAGAAAACATGTATATAAGCTGGATAAAAATAAAACAATTTGAGTACTAATAAGAGATCAAAAATTTAGATTTGTTGTAGGACATAATGACCTTCTGCTCCTGGAATGAACACTGCTGGGCAACTACATAGAAGCTACAGAGAAAAGTCTATTTAATATGACCAGTAGGAATGGATCCGACATGAGTGAGGTCCAAAATAACAAGAGAAAAATATGAGAAGTAAAAGTAGGGACAAATCTCTGTGTTAACAATGGTAAATGTGAACATTATATACTCTATTCATACAGCTAATAATTCAAATGATAACCTGGACAAATAATCATGACTCACTCAGAAATACAGTACACAATTCATGTAGGCATTAATTTATTTCTTTATCAAATATTTCATGAGAGGCTACTAAGTAAATGATTCAGCATTAGTAGTTAGATAAAACACAATGAATGAAAATAACAGAAAACATGCCTTTATGGCACATACAGTATAGTGCAAAATTCATTTAAAATACTCTGTGATAAAGTGTTTGAATAAAGTGTACGTAATCTCCACCCAAAAGCATCATATAAGGCTAGTGAAAGGAAATTTTCTCCACAATGAGAAAAATTTGGCAAGGTGAATGAATCATGGATGGAAGTGGAAGTAGCAGTAAAACAGAACATTTTGTACAAAACGTAGCATAAAAAGAAATAATGGAGTCATTCAGGAAATGAAAAACATTTAATTTTGGTATATAATAGATTACTTGCAGGGTTGATTTGTAGAAGGCAGGAAATAAGGTTGGAGAGAGAAGCAAGGGCCACATTATTCAGGGCCAGGTGAGCCCTGTTAAAAACTTGAGACTTCATTTAAAAAAACAAGACAGGCATTCATGAATAATTTCTTTAAGCAAATTAAAATTTGATCTGATTTGCATTTTAAATGATTCTTTTTATATGCAGTTTGGAAAATTGATTAGATTGAATTAAGACCTAGTTATATGAAAATAAAAGAAAATTGCAGCAGTACAAAGAAGAAATTATGTTGGCCTAGACTAGCCAAGTGGCAGAAGCTTTAGTAAAAGTGTTGTATATGGTCACATGGATAATAGAAAATATTGCTCATTAACAAGTGTCTGTAGCTATGGGGACTTCCAGGTTGGGTGCTACATATGACCATGGATTTGTTTTACCTGCTTGTAGTAAGGTATAGGTGGAGAAAGATAAGCTAAAACAAACAAACAAACAAATTAAAAGTAACAACAAAAATCAGCTTTCAAGTAGAATTTAGAGACAATATAAAAGAGCTAGGATGACCTCTGTTCAAAAATTAAATGATTTATCATTCCTAGCTTCTCCCCAATACACATATTAATGCTTAAAAAGTGGATTTAGTGCAAATGCTCAATAATCAATGCACTACAATTAAAGCAGATAAAGCGTAAAAATATCAGGAATTTGGACTGTAAGATTTTTTTTGTTTAAATCTTCGAATAACTTAAGATAGGAATGAGTATATTATGGCTCGTGCATCCTTTCAACTAGCCAAAACACACCTAAGACTCTTAATCAATTCCCTACAGCACCATGACGCTGAAGTACAGTTAGAGGAAGTTCTGTCTTGCAAAGAAAAGAGACTGAGAGCAGGTCTTTGTCTGAATCAGTGGATGAAAACTTGAAGCTTAAGAAAGTATTTTATAAGCTTGGATTGAAAAAAGAAAAAAGGGTGGGCCAGGCACGATTGCTAACGATTGTAATCCCAGCACTTTGGGAGGCTGAGGCAGGCAGGTCACTTGAGGTCAGGAGTTCGAGCCTGACCAACATAGTGAAACCCTGTCTCTACTAAAAATACAAAAATTAGCTGGGTGTGATGGTGCATGCCTGTAATTAATCCCAGCTACTTGGCAGGCTGAGGCAGGAGAATCACTTGAACCCAAGAGGCGGTAGTTGCAGCAAGTTGAGACCACACCACTGCACTCCAGCTCAGCCTGGGAAACAAAGTAAGACTCCATCTAAAAATAAATTACATGTATATATATATATATATATGTAGAGAGAGAGAGAGGGAGAGAGAGAGAGAGTATTATATATATATATATATAAATATTATATATACTATATTATATATATTGAATATATACAATTATATATAACATATTATATAATTATAGGTTACTTTATTATATTATACAATTATATATGATATAGGAATATATATATTAACTAGGAATATATATATAGTATATATATGTTAACTATAATATATGTATGTACATATATATACACCTTGCCATTAACTAAGAAAATGGAAAGTAAAATCAGAGCAGGGCGCCAAGACCAAGGAAGCAACACTTGACATTAATCAAGAAATTTCTAACATAGAAACCATGGCTGAAGAAACTCAACCCCAGCTGGACTTGATATGAGCGAAGAGATCCTATACTTTTATCTGAAAGCAGCATTGGATGAGACATTTGGGGACATTGAGAGGAGTAAGTGTTCATGTGAGAAAAATATAAACATATTTTGGCCAGATGATTTTAGTAAGTTATTTTTACAGTCTCTCCTATTGAAAAGTGGAGAAACTGGAAAAAATAAATTTTTCTACTTTCTCTTTCATTGATTTTGGGCTGGTCTTACTGATTGCTTGACCACTGGAGTATGTCAAAAGTGACATGTAGTAGCTACCAAGATCAAGGTTTAAATAGCTTTGCAGCTTAATAGCCTAGACTTTCATAGAACTTTCACTCTTTGAGCCCACAGCTGCTATTTTAGAAATTGAATACTCAGCTGAAAAGACCATATAGAAAGGCCTTGAGATTACCTGGGTAGAAATAGGAGCTTGGCTTAGACCAGGCTGCCAGTCATCTTCACCAAGGCACCTTTCAGGTAATAGAAATCATCTTGTAAACTTGAGCTTAGTAGCCAGCCGAATATTACTCAGTGACTGTCCCAGATGACACCATGTGAAGCAGAAAAATTATCTCCTTGAGACCTGCCCAAATTGTTGAGCTGTAAAACTATGACAAAAATATAAGTTATTTAAGCCACTAAGTTTCAAACCATTATGTTTTGGTGTACTTTATAAGCAGAATTTAGACACAACACTATATTTTTCTCCCATGGTCTTAATCTTTTATCTTTTTTTTTAATTTCCATTTCTAACCTCTCACTTATGTTTAAAATTCTCTGAACTCAGGTGCCCATCTCCTGGTTTCTTCTGCTTACCTGTTAAAGCACAGTGCTGTTTAAATCCAATTATTTTATGACTTTATGCTTTCATGTACAATTTAAATGTCTGTATGAGAAAATTATAAGACCAACCATTTTAAATAGGTCTTAAAACTGCTAGAAAATTAAACCACATGTCTTTCTCCTCTCATAGAAGACTATTTGATCTTTCATCACTGTCTTTAGTCCTTTGGACATCTCCCTGCAGCACACAACACACACACACACACACACACACACACACACATAAATAAATATATACACACCCACTGAACATTCTGACACCCAATGAGTACCTTGCTTTCTTCTTCACTGAGGAGAGTGAAGCAAGGAAAAAATAAATTCAAAGAAAGAAGACTGCTACCTACATGCAAGAGTCTGCTCTGCTATACTCTGCCTTTCCCACTTAACATATATGTGAAATATTCATTATCTTATTTAATGCCAAGGCACTGTTTTTAGCCACATTCAATCCTCTCACTAACTCAAGGCAATCAGTTCACCAGATGTCCCTATTATCTTCTATAGGATCCTTTTTGTTTATATTCTATGTATGTTACCAAATATATTGCTTAATAATTTATAATATTATTTAATTTAACAAAGTAATGCTGCAGTGAATAATTGGGCACAAACATTTTATGTGCACAAACAGTTGTTAAAAGTATACTCCTTAGCACTATTTATCATAGCTAAAATACATATTTTTTCAACTTTTGTTTTAGATTCAGGTAGTACATGTGCCGGTTTTTATGTG